TGGGGCCGGGGCCGGGGCCTGAACTTGAGGCTCTTCCCTGGGCCAGGGCCGGGGCCTGGGTCTGAACTTGGGGCCGGGGCCTAAACTTGCGGCCAGGGCCTGGGTCTGGGGCCAGGGCTGAGGTCTCAGGCCTGGGTCTGGGCCTGACTTGCGGTGTGGGTCTGGGCCTGAACTTGCAGCTGGGGCCTGGGATCTGAGGCTGGGGGTGGGGCTGGAGCAGCAGCTTTGCTGCGCCGTCACTGAGACGGGCTGTGGGCTGCTGCGCGCCTGGCCGTCCTGCGAGGCGGGTGATACGGGATGGTCCAGCAGGAGAAGGCTGGAGCTGAGCTGTTCTCTCCCAGCTGGGGGTGCGTTGTCCTGCGCAGGACCCAGCTCTGCACAGAAGGTGGGAAGCTGGAGGAAGGACAGAGTGGGGGATCCCGTAACCCAAGGGTGAAGAGCAGGAGGGGGTCCCAATAACAGCATGCTGCACTGCCCCCAGGGGCAGCTCCCAGCCCCTTAGCGAGAGCAGTCTGATTTCCTGAATCCCTGTGCACATCCCCCTCTTTTGTATTAATTCTTAGAGCAAAAATTGCATCATTCTCCATAGAACCAATAACTATTGCAGTCCTCAGGACAGCAGGGTTTGGCTGTGTCTGGCTAGCTTTTTGCACTAATGCTAGCATTTTGCACTGCTTTTCATTACTTGGTATCCCTGGCTTGACCTTTATTTAACCGGAGACAAGTTGTCGAGGCGGTTGAGTGGCTGGGATGCGGTCTTGTAATGCCTTAATGGTACTTTGATGCTACTGGACTTTGTGCCTTACGGAGGAAGCACAGGTTACAATCAGTTGGAGGGAAAGAAAGCTTGAATATTTGAGATCCTGGTGCCTACACCCCTGCAAGCCCCTGTTTCTCAAAGACTGAATTAAAGTTTAGCCTCTGGGGCAATGGCTGCATCGTCACGAGCAAACTCTCATAGGCTTTCCTCCTGGTTTGGTTAAAATGGGCTTAAATTAAGGAGTCTGAGCTAGAGCCAGAAGTCTGGTGCCAGGATTGGTAGAGGGAGAACAAACTGGGGTCTCGTGTGATGGACCTGTGGGTGAAAGAGGAGGCTTGAGATGGCACGTGGGTCTTGAACCCGTGAGATCTGGGATGGTGCATCAAAGGGATGTGGAATTTGCCTCATCAAGCTGCTGCAAACTGCTTTTATACCTCTACATCAACATGAAGAATTACAGCCCTAATAACAGCAGCCGCAATCACGAGTTTTCCTTCCTGAACTGGCTTAGGAAAAATGTATAATTTCATTTTTCATTTGAAACAGGCCCTCGTGCTCATCACTTATGGGCTGAGGATGACTAGGAAAGCAATTTTCTTTCTTAAACCAATTTATTTCTAAAAGCAAACAGAAGCTATTTATATAGCAAATCAGAATGCTGGTAACCGTTCATACACGTGGAGTATTGACTGTTTGCTCTAAATATAGCAGATGCAATCGCTCACTTTGTTCCTGCCATCAAGAATAGATCCCGGTTTGGGTGCTGATGCTGGAACGAGCGAAGGAGCCGCGGGGAGCTAAGGGCCCTGGCCCTGTAGAGCAGATCCCTGCAGGAAGGGCGCTGCGTTTTACCGTCCTTGGCTCTGACAGCAAGAGCCAAGCAGGAGGTACAGGATGCTGCGTCTTTCGCACTGCACTGGGCACAGAGGTTCATTGCTGCCTATTGGTGTATGGGCTATTACAGCGAGATTTGGCTGAGGCTCTGGGGGGGGTCTCCTTCCTCTGTGCTGTGCTGCTGGTTTTAACTCTTCCCCCCTGACTCACGGAGGAGCGTGGCTAATTGCGAGGCCGCTGGCCCTCTGCGTTTGGTGGTGAGTCAGGCAGTCGTTAGAGCAGGTGACGACATGCCGACACGTTCAGCCGGAACTAAAGCGCTGTCAATCAGCATTTCTTTGTGCTGTTCAGTTCCCGTTTTTGTTTGTGTGTTCTCGCAGCAGCTGTAGCATGCAGCTTTATCTTGTTGCCTTTAGCCCCTGCCCTTGCCTCTCACCTTCTCTTTCTCGTGGGAACCCAGCCCTGCGCGGCTT